GAAAATAAAATGTAAATGACAAGTGGTTATTTTAGATTTCTTGTACACCTGTCTTAAAATGTAAGGGATACTGGAGCTTGGTTGGGGTGGTGGGATGGCTCGCGGTGGGTGCCGGAAAATTTCCCTTCTTTTCAAATCCAAAACTTGACAGGTATGTGTATGAGACCATAGGGCAACGTAAAGAAAACTCTGAATAAAATATGGTTAATTGGTTAATTATTAACCAAAAAAAGATCAGAATTCATATAAATCAGCAGTATGGTGGCTGGGGGAGATGGTCGTCTAGCTTGAAGATCGAGGAGAGGTTCTGCTGTAGTATACACAGATTGTCATATTTTACTCAAATTGCTCTTGGGTAATACCCAGCTCTATAAATTTGTAAGCTGATTTATTTAAATTTGTCAGCCAAGGATCTAACCTTAACCCATGGGGACAGTTTTTAAAATGACTGTTTTTAAATGGGGTTATTGCATTCGAGTCACAGTACAGCCTGGGAGTCAAAGGTCACGTGTCCTGTGAAGTTTACCCGTGTCACTCTGCCCAATCATTCTGCGTCCTGTGAGTCATCTCCGCTTATAACTTGATTACTGTTTACAGAGCACATTGGACATGAGCTGCTTCCCCAGTGCATCTTCTGTAATAAGGTGCTAGGTGTCAGTGTTTAAGCCTCACTCAAGATTTAACTGAGTGATGCCCACAGAATGCACCAGACTGTTCCAGAAAATGTATAGTCAGTGCCTGCTTTCAGATTCTGTGAGATCTCACTTTAGAATAGAATAGTGATACTTTATTCCTTGTCTATCTTGCTCAGTATGAGGCCTACAAACACATATGCAGAAGAGACAAGCTTGGGGGTCACAAGATATGCGGTATGTGTTTACGGTGGGTCTTATATTTTTCAGCACAGAAAGAAACACAGAAGATGGTGATGAACTGGCAGGTGAATGAAGGAGTGAGAGAAACTGGTGTCAGACTGACTTTCCACAATACCTGCTAATAAGCGCCAATTAGCAGGTATTACAAGTGTCACTTTTGATAAGCAGGTATTTGCTGAGTCTCGGCGGTTTGCACTGCTGCTTTCTGAGCTTGTGCTCTCCTTGATTAGCCATGTGGAGCTCCATGGGTCAGACATATGTACCTGTGCCCAGAAGGTTGTGGGGTTGAGTAATGACATCAACACTGGGCCCCAGAGCACGGCCCTTAAGCCCAGCTGAATCAGGGAAGCTGCGCACTGGGTGACTCCTGTGCTGGGGCCACAAAACTAATTCTCATTCATATGAATGTGGGTGTCTGTGTCTCTCATGGAGAGAATTAATGTCCTTATCCTAGTGGAAGATGAAGTTTCTTTCTTCTTAAATTTGTACAGAATATGACAAGTAAGAGAATGTGCCTTTTCATAGATCCCAGCACTAACTTCCTGCTAAGTGGTGATATGGCTAAATATACATGGAGTTGTATTATCCTTTTCATTCAGTTACTTCACAGCATGATGTTTGCCCTCCCCCCTCCCCCTCCATGAGCTGGTACAGAGTGCTGGTACTGTAGCTTTAAGAGTGCGCTCCACCCCAGTCTTTTCAGAATGACACTAAACAGGCTGAAAACTGACAAGGGTAACCATGTATGATGGGGGTGATACAGCAGGGATTTTTAGGTGCTTCTCCTGTATGGTAATGAAGTTCTAGAGCACGATGAACAAGGAAAGGTGACGTGCATCATAATTAGCCTTTAGTAATTAGCTGGCAAGGGAGGGGGACTCACCATTCACCCGAGCATGGAGGGTCAGGTGATCAGCATTGTCAGGGTTAATTTGATCCATCTGACCCCTGTTTCCTGTGTGTCTGTTTCCCCCAAACCAGAGGACCGGCTTCAGTCCAGAGGCTGCCCCCCCCCCCCCAAGTAAATACCAATAACTGTTTCACCTCCAAAATAGCTATATCATTTTGCACCCGCCCCCATCTTTTGTAGTTCTACCACTCTCACTCTGACCCCATGTGTCCCCAAAAAGGCAGAATTTACAATAAATCATTTTGCTGTCAAATTCTCCCCTCGTCCAGTTTGCTGTCAAACTCTCCCCTGTTCTGTCCCCCACTCCGTCCATCATGACGCTCTCACAGCTGTCGGGGAGATGAAATTGGGCTTGTGTGAACCACTGCCAGTCTTCAGTGTGTGTAATTACCATAACGATAAACCAGAGGCGTGTGGGGTGATGTATCAGCATTTATCAGGCCCTCTCAGCTCCGCACATTCAAGGCCGAATCTCAGCAAAAGCAGCCTTTTCTGCGTAATGGACTCTGCTTTTGGGGACTCGGTGGCTTCCTGAGTTTCATTCAGCATTTGGGTGGAAATTTACAGGCAGAAATAATCTGAAGACATGCCTTCCAAGACATGTTCAAATAGTCTAATTCAGTAACAGCATATAGGAAAACTGACATCTGCTTCAGTTACATCAACTATATTTTACGTAACTGCAACAGTATTTTATGTAACGAATGTTCTTTGGCAGGGCAGCCACAGTGGGTAGTGCTGTTACCCCCGTGCTGTTCTGGGGGTTCATGTCCCAATCTTAGGTTTCCTCCCACTGTACAAAGATGTGCCATTAGGTGGGCTGGGGGGGGGCTGCCCTGTGATGGACCGGCGTGTCAGTATTAATTGTGCCCTACGCCACCAGGGAAAGGCTGCAGGCCACCCCCATGACCTTGTGTTGGATAAATGGTTGGAGAATGGTACATATTCTGTGGATTGGCCCGTTTTGTTACTATTTTAACACAATCCATGTTTGTGACAGTTAATTAAACCGAACACATTTATTCCTTATTAATAATGTAAAATATGCTTGGATATACAGTGGTACCTCGGTTCTCGAACTTAATCCGTTCCGGACTCCGGATCAAATCCTAAAAAGTTCGAGTTCTGATCGAATTTTTCCCATAAGAAATAATGGAAAACAAATTAATTGGTTCCCAGCCCCCCAAAATTACACCTAAATATGTTTTTTTTTTTTTTTAGCATTTAAACAAAATGAACAGGATAAAACAAGAAGAGCATTTTTTTCTTAATGGCTTCCAAAACGATAAAGATCTTATCCCATCATTACCCCTGTCCTGCCCCGATAGTCTGCTCCTTCCCTCGTTAACTTTGTGTGGGATCCCCGTGTGATCAGCTGTTTCTGGTTGTTGTCATTAGTCCTCTGTATTAAGTCCACATTTCAGTTTGTTTCCCCAGTCCGGTCATTGGGTGCGTTCAACTTGCTTACAGCGCTGACTTAAAGCAACGCACTCTGATCCTGACGCAATGCATTACGGTTAGATGTATTGCGACCTCTCACCCGGCTGCACAAACTGGAACCGCCTCCATGACAACACACCTTTGCTCTTATTGGCTGAAGAGTTTAGTTACACGCATGACGTTTGTATTCCAGGCAGTTCCGATGCGTGATCTGCTATTTCTCCCGAATATCACGTAAAGCAGTGAGAACTGGTTTTCAGTTACTTTACCTGGTAAAATAAAGTTTAAATAAATGACATAAATGCTCTAATAGTACACGTAAGTTAGTGGTTTATTTATTGTTAGTTACTGTAATGTTGCACTGCTTTATTTGGTTAATCGTCCAGCCTGTGAAGAAGGTATTCAAGTAAGAATTGCATTGTAGTATGACTCATTTCCTGGCACGTACAATTTATATTAGGTCAGTGTTCACGGTTCGACTTCTGATATTCAGATCAAGTTCTAGGTCAAACTGGTTTGTTCGACTTTCAAGAAATTCGAGTTCTAGTGAGTTCGAGAACCGAGGTACCACTGTATATTTAAAATACGCCCCTGGATCATCAGCTACAGTATGTCCTGACTTTTTTTTTACTGAGGCCCGTCAGCCTCCATAAATACAGGCCCTCTGTTGACATGTCTGCTTTCCCAGCATGCTCTGCCACAGCAGCGCTTTGGCCAGCCCTGACCAATGAAGCTGAACCACCGCTAACTCAAGAGCCATGATCACTGCTCTCGGTGCATGAGTGAAGTCCATCTTGGGGGTCAAGTGGTTACAAAGAGGATTTTTAATATAATTCAGGTGCGTTTTGTGAGTGACCCTTAGCTCGGCACATTTAGTGCTTGCGGCGACCGCAGCTTGTTACACGTTACAGGTCAGTGAGCACAATTTGATTTGAGAAACACTCTCAAGCAGCTCTCTCTTACTTCCTCCTCAGTCCTTGGCAAGCCACCCCCCCCCCACAGACCCGACCCGCCTGCCTGAGAGAGCAGCCCCATCTTATTCATACAGACAGGCATCCTAGTCTAATACATAATTGTGCCTGTAGTTTACCTGAGAGACCTTGCAGCATCATAAGCACAAGGCAGGGGACTGAGCGCCAATCAGCTGAAATCGTACAGCTCCGTCTGGCTTGTATCTTTATTGACTTCAAACGGGAGGCAAAATTTGAAACATTTATGAGGACGACTGTACATTCCTGATGGCCTGGTTGGGCTCTGCAAACCTCTTGCTTGGTTTCATTCCGCTGCGATGAAACAGAATTGGGACATTTGTGTTTTGTTTAACTTGATTGCTTTAGGGGTAAGCTTCGATTTTCAGGGAGAGAGGAGAGAGACACAAACACAATAGATGTGCTTTTTTGAAGTTTTCAAAACTACAAAAAAAATTAAAAAAATCAAAGGCATTAATTATTTTCCCTGTTTTTTTGTGTTATTGAGAGAAGTCAAAGTCACTTCTTGTGCATTAGCATGAATTACCATTGGGGAATTAACATCCATTATTCATCACCCATCAGCAGAACTTGCTTAAGTAACTTTAGATCCAAAGTTCAGAGCTGGTTTACATGTCTAACCTTATCAGGAAGGACAGGGACTCGAGCCATTTAAGCAAAGTAGCTTGTTTATTTGCATCTCTCTGCATTCCAGCTCTCGTCTGAATACCGCACCTTGCATAACACATAGAACGTTGGCCATTCATCTGTCTGTGGAATTCATTTCTCTCTCTGCTCTTCTGACAGGAAAGGAAGCCGTGAAGGATCTTCCCTGGTCATTGTCTACAAGGGATGTCAAAGAATGTGCCACCAATGTGAGTTGCCCTGATTTCGTTAAATGTCCATTCGCCGTACTTACGGGATTGTGTCCCAGGGAAGAATGGAGGGAGCAAGAAGAGGTAATCAAGCAACTGCAATAGCGTATTGAGATCCAGGTCCCTTGATAAAGTGAAATGGTAATTGGTAGAGAAGGGTGTGTGTGTGTGTGTGTGTGTGATCATCCCATGGTGACCAGGGTACTGCATAGAACCAACACGTCAAGGAGCAGAACCACTCATGTGAGTCCATTGCGGCAGTGATGTCACTACAAAGAGCCCAGGCTTGTTACTGATTGGTTCCCTATCCTGGGGGCAGAGGTCATTTGTGCGGTGATTGTGTGATTATCTTTCTCAGACAGTCGCACTGATTGTGTTGGTTCTGGTCCGTTCCACTGTAAGTGCTCAAAAAAAAAATCATTTAATTAATTTAACTACAATGTGAAATTAATAAAAGGAATAAAATGTAAAACTTTAATGATCGTGTAAACCCTCCAAACGGATGTAGTGTCACATGGGGCAGATTACGCATTACGAAAAAAAAAACGGTACCTTCACTTGTCCTCGTAGTGGATGAGTTTAAAACACAATAAATATTAAATAAGGGCGACAGGGCATTAGCACATGTGAGGTGTTGAGCTTAGCTAATTACCAGTCTTTGTGATGCCTGCGTCTGCAGTTTAAGGGTCATGACCTTGTGGGGGCCTCCTCGTGTGGTGATTATGTAGTGGGCCTCTGCCTTAAATGGGCCTGACTAAGGAATCATGTAAAATTCTCCATCTCGTATTTTTTTTAGAACACAAAGTGATTTTCTTTTTTTCCCCTCCTCCGTTTTGAATTATTTCTCGTTAAGTTACTATTGAAGAAACTTACATGAGGAACGGAGACTTTAGAAGGAGACATGAGGAAACTGGGAGACAAAGCAGAGATGTTACAGTAACCTTGTTTCCAGGTGCCTTGAGATACTTCGAGTGGAGATACTTGAGTCTTTTCCAGTATCGTGCATGGATGTGTTTTTAGAAGCAACCCTGTTTCAGTAAGATTTCGAGGTGGTTTCTTACAGGGAGATACCAGAGCAGAAAAGCCAGCGACGTCACCTTGCTTTCACTTTACTGCTCCAGAGAAACTGTTTGTTCAGAGGCTCAGTAAGAAGCAGTCCAGAGATTAGAAAAATACACTGAGCAGCCATGATCTTAGACCTGAGAGTGTGAGAGTTTGGATTAAGGATACCTGTTTAATGGAGGAGAACCTGGAACGATTCTGAATCATTTAACATCTAAGAAACGTCCATATTCTGTCATCATTTTATTAATTTGTATTTAAATGCTGTTCGTCTTTTATATATTGTTCTGTAAATATTAGAACATAAACAATAAGTAAATAGTGAGGACATCGCCCAGTGAGATCTGGATTTCAGCATTTCCTGGACGGACTATAAAGATAATTAATTACCCTAATGGTATTCAGCTCATCAGTTCGTCACCTATGTGCTAAACGACATGTTTTGTCTGATTATGAGCTGTGCAATACATTTACTTCACTCGTGTCCCATCCAGAACATTTAAAAATAGATAAAAAGGCAAACATTAGACAAAGTGTGTATGTGAAGTAATATAGCTTAGGGATAAGGTTAGATTTGTAGTGAATATCTTCTCCTTTGCGGAGCATACGGGTGTAACGGTCTTTATTTAAAGTGTAGTAGAAATTCTGATATAAAGTGCATGTGTGTTTTAGGAAATGCTAATCCAGGCTCAGTATGTATGGATTTTGTATGTTCTCTCTGTGCTGTGAGAGTTTCCTACTTATACTCTCAGTTTCTCCTGCAGTCCAATGACATGTAGTCAGTCTAACTGGTATCTCTAAATTACCTGTAGTGTGTGATGGGATGTGTGATGCGTGTGTGCATTTTGCCTCGTCCTGCCCAGGATACCCTTCAGGTCGCCCTTCGACTAACCTATCTGGTATAAGAGGAAGATGGATGGATGTTTGTGAGATCTGACACAAAACTGCACTGTCAAGTCTGTACAGTAACTGTAACATTCAGCACTTTTTCCCCCAACACATCTGAAAAAGTAATTTCAGCAATTGTAAAATAAGAAGAGCGGCAGACTGGAGGTGATTATGTAGGCAGTGACTGCAAGGATACAGCGCAGATACAGCTGTCAGGAATTAGCGTGGGGCCCTTGGGAGGAGGCGTCACGGCAGCTGGCAGAGATGAGTGTGGGCCCATTGGAAGGAGGAAGGAGCCCTGATAGTGCTCTTTAACCCATCATGGCTAAAGGAGCGAATGGGTATCGCATTTTAAAGGGGGTGGGCAACATTGGTCATGATGGCCGATATAACTTTTGTCTTCCCCCACTGGGGGGCTGTCTCCAGGGTGCCCAGGAGCAACCAACCCTCCCCACCAAGTTGTTCTGTCATCCTGCGTTTATTTTTTTGATGTTGCTTCCCCAACTGGCAGGACATCCCCAGTAGCTTGCTGCACACTTTTAAAAACCTCGTTCTTCTCCAAAAGAATAGCTTGCATTAGCCTTTCTTTTACAGAGTGTCAGTGTTGCCCATCCAGTATAATTAAGTGGACCCTGAGGTGTTTGTATATCCACACCACCTCCACATCCTCTGATAATTCCCCAGATAATTGAGGATTTTTTGCGGGTGGCACCGCCAGGGGCATACCTACGAATTCTGGGCCCCCTGACAAAATGTCATGATTTTACATATGGAAGGGCCCCTGTCAACTGAATCTACCAGGGTATCCGTGCCCCTTAGATGCCCCTGGCACAGCTTGACATGGTACCTGAGGTCTGGGTAGAGGGTGAGCAGAGAGGGACAGGACAGATCCTAAGGGGGCACCCTCAACGCCGTCTCTGACACACAGTCCCAAAGCCTCACAAACTGATAGGTGGAGAAATTCTGACTGTACTGCCCCCTAATGGGAGTAGCTCAGGGCATCATCTACCCTTAAATGTACCTGGTAGCAGAGTATCCAGCTAGACTGTGCGTGAAGGTTTAGGCTGTGCATCATGAAACTGCTGTCATCAGCCAGCTGTGCTGAACTGATGCTTTCTTTGCCATTTGCACAAGTATATTGGGACATCCCATTAAGCTGTCCATAGTGATACCAGTACGTACAGGTGAGGGTTAAGCTTGGGGTTGGAGTGCTGGGTCTGCCATTTATCTGTCACCACTGGATCTGTTGAGGGTCTTGCTAAAGGCAACAAAAGACATACTACTATTCTGCAGAGGATGGGATTTGAACCAGCAAACTTCCGATTATATACGCAGTTACCCAACCCACTAAGCCACATGCTGTCCCCAACTGGGTGGTGCTGGAAGGAGTGTAGCAGGGAAAACCATACACGACGTTCATGCCATGACGGTTGAAACACATGGCACATATTTCATTACGCTTGGCAAGGAAATGGGCAGCTTTGCTTCAAATGTAGCATCTGGGCTTTGCGGGTTTGACGAAAGCTTGTTCTGGATTAGGCCTGGCCCGGTTTTACCGTGCACTCTGAAACTTTGATAAAAGCCTCTGAACCGGTCTCTGAACTCTGCAGTGACAGGAGTTTGAGCTCACTTCTGGAGGGCTTCCAGGCGAGTCCCTGGCGGAGCCGACGCCTCTCAGAACTACAGGTGGTAGGATCATCAGAGGATCTCTGCTGATTAAAATTACAGCTCTTCCCTTGTAAGACGGGTGGTGGAGAGATACTGGATGAGACGGCAAAGAGGAGGCCTTCAATTTTTCACGATAATGTAAAGAAAAAAATGAAAACAGTGCTGTTGAGCTTTAAAAATATTCCTCAAGCTCTTTTGTTTGGAGACAGGATATGAATAGCTTGTATGCTTCCAAAGACAAGTTTGTGATGACTAAAATATTTACTAAATTTTCTAAAACTCAAATCACTTCCTTTTACTTACCTGTCACATGACCCTCTTTGTAGGTTGACATCAGTGATTCCCAGCCCAGTCCTCGGGGGCCCCTATCACCCCATAAAAGGGAAAACATGGTCCGTCTGGGGTACCCAAGAACTGGGTTGGGAATCACTGGAATAGCTAACCTGTATTGATGTGATAGAAGTACTTCCTCTTCCTCTCCCCGCATTGTGCCTGTCAGATCTGTATGCCAGCTGGCTGCGGCTCTGAGGGTCCAACCCGAGCCCCCCCTACTGAGACAGGGTAGCTGAAACACCCCCCCACCCCTTACATCGGGCTGATCTTTAGCTGGAAGTGGAAGAGACGCTACTACAACAAAGAGCCTTCACAGAAACTAGTGCTCATGGAATATGTTGTGCTTTTCAAGTTCATTTCTGATTCTCTCTCATGGAGTTGGATCTCTATTTGGCATTAGGAGAAAACTTCAGTGTAAAATTACTTTCTTAAAGTTCTCAGGATACTTTTAATAACTACAGCCAACATGTCCTTCGTGACTCTTCTTCAAGATAGCATGCATTGTAGGCAAGGAACCCAACTCAGGCTCCAAGGTTCTTGGCCAGCATTTCACCCAGCTGGCCCATCATGTCCTTATCAGAGAAATCTAGGTGAGCTGAGCATCATTAACTATCTGCCACCCAGCCCCATACCTTTGCTCTAACTCCCACCCCGGCCATCTTTCTGCCTCCACATTTTAATTTGATGTAAAGTCGGTCCCCACCCCCAGCTTCACAAATTCCACAGTCACATTTCAGTCATTTGTGAAAAATTAAATGGAGATATTTGCAAACATTGAAGACTCACAGACGATGCAAAAAAATATATAAACAATATCGAAAATTATTTGGATCTCATAAAATCATAAAATATATAAATATTAGTGTTATTTAATATGCATTACTGTAAGTGGATATTATACCTTTAATATTTCCAAAATTGGAAAAAAAAACAACAAAGAACTGTAGGATCTACGCATCTTGCCTTGGAGACACCGTGTATCTCTGCCTGAGCTTTTAACAGTTACTGTCTGTAACTTTTAAGCTTTTCTGTACCGTGTGTGTATATAT